AAGGATAGCTTGATTGGTGGGACATCAGGACCAGTAAAAGCAGAAAGCGTGGTTAACACCTGGGGAATGAAGACATTAGCAGGGATCCCGTAGATTATAATGAGCTGCAAAGTCATTTAACTTCCTTAGCACTGACTGACTAGAACTGCTGCTACCACTGCCAATTTAGACTTTGGGTGGAGCAGGCATCAGAGACAGGGTTCAAATGCACCAGTGCACACTCCCTGGATCTGCCCCTGGCTGCTAAAGAGAAGTGAGGTCTGAACCTTCCCTTGAAGAGCTGGTCCCCTAACATCAGAGCTCAAACTCTCCTGGAACACCTTGTGAGGTGCATGTGCATGTGCATGTGCTTTTCTTACTTCCCCATCAGGAACCACAGCTTTCCAAACAGATTCTTTCTCCATCTCTCAAATTACTATTGTTTGTAGGTAAAGCATGACATAATACCTCTTTACATTTTGCTTCTCAAAGGTACTAATGGCTCCTTAAAGAAGCAGCTTTGAAAGCTTGTTGGGGAAAAGGAGGAAGGGCAGTTATTTATGACATTTCCTGATAAGCACTTTGGGGTGGCAGAGTTCAGCATGAAGCACAGGGGACACAGAGAGAAGTGAGATTTTTCATGCAATCTCACCCCAAAAAGCTCTTTGCAGCAATGGCATAACACACAAACAGAGCTTCAGAGCACTTTTTAAATGGCCAATTATCCGAAAAGTAACCCTCTTTAAATGAGGTAGTAAATAAGGGCACTCTAAATTGGTGCACTTTAGGGAACTTCTATGAGGTTCTTTATGAGGGTTAAGTGCCATGCCCCTATACTGCCACAGGAAGAAGACAAAGAGTTCAAGGAAACAGCCAGCTGGCCAGCTGCTTCCATGTGGGTGGGAGGGCAATCAAGCTAGTGATCAGGGCTGGAGAGGGACCTAGCCATGTCCCTTGCAGAATGGGGGTGGAGAGAGAAATCAGTCTACCCTGCCATGATGGAAGACCTGACCAAACTCTATTACCCTATCTGGGACATGACACACATTTAAATTAAAGCCTAGTAAGAACCAGCTACAACATTTTTCTACATTTTCCAAGCAACATATATGTGGCTGGTTGACCATTTTATTGTGCAATAATTACAGTTGCATGTGTAGCATGTCTATATGAATGGTTCAAATAGCCAGTTTATTGCACAATAAATGCAACTTGTGTCACAGGCCTTAGGCAAATTTCTTACTCATGCTATAAGAACTTATCTTTGCTGACTCCTTTTTGAGTGATATCTATATATATCTATATCTATATATATAGATATTTGAGTATGTATGTATGTACATAAATGTATATATACACAAATGAAAAAGCTAGTATATCTAGGATTTAGTGCAGTCAGATGCAAAGGTTCTTAAAACAGTGGCTTCGGTATGGGAGTTTGTGGAGTTATCACGTTCGTACAGACATTTCTGAGTATGCTACAATTGCTAGCTAATACACAGAATGTATCATTCCTATGAAAAAAATAATAATTGTAAAGCAAGAAAAAAAGGAGAAAGTTATGGGGGGAAAAAACTCCAGAAAGATGAGAGTCTTTTCCTGCCACAAATTTGTAGACAGATCTGGTCAGGATAAAAGAATATTGCAACATTATTCCTTATATAAGAGAAATGGCTGAGCTATGCTTTTTGGCATTTATGGCCATAGTTTAATGTGCTTTTCCTCCACATGATAGTTTACTCAAGCCGAAGTAAAGAACTTGAAAATAGTGTAATCTTAAATCATGGCACTCACACAAAAAAAAAAAATTCTGGGAAGAAGACCCACAACCAGGCTAAGTCCCCTTAAATATTTTCAGCAAATGATCTTACTGATGATTTAGTAGGAGGCCTGGAAAATATTAGCACTTTTATTGCAAAGATATACCATTCAGAATGTAATTAATTAACTATATCTCCTGACCTGGAGAGGCAGCTTAACATCATGTTACATATTCAGAAATAATATCTCAGCACCTTTGATGGTAGGAGAGTTTACTTGAATTTTTTTAGATTATTTGTGGGAGGGCAGGGGCGGAGCTGGAAGAAGGGGTGTAGTATCACAGGGTATGATTTTTTGTTTTCTTGCATTTTGTTTTTGTTTTCCTGATTCTGATTATAAGGAATACAAGGCACTAAAATGTGTGTTCTACATAGACCTTATAAAAAGAATTGCCAATTTCTAGCAGTACTCAAGGATGTCCTTCCCTTTAAAAGTTCCAAAGCAGAGGTAATACAAGCTACCTTGCTACACATCTTGTTCCCATAAAAGCCTTTTTTTTTTTCCAAAAGACCACAGCTCCAATTTATATGCAAAAATAAGTTGTCTCATTTTTCACAACTCATTGCATGATTCTGAAAATGTGTCTTTTACTAGTTGCCTAAATCAAAACCACATTCTTTTGGAATTTGGGTGCCTATTCTGAGTTCTTGAAAATCTAGTTCCAGACTCTGTTTGATTTATATAATGTGGACGAAGACACAGAAAGTTGTTCCATTCTTATCTCAATATATACTTTGGAATTTCAAAAAAGTGTAGTTGAGACAGTGAACCACACAACCACAAAAAAATCTGAATCTAGACATTAATGTTTCAGAAAAAAACAATTCTCAATGCGTCTCATCCCCCTAAAGTGGTAGACTATGCTTTGATGTGATATTGAACCAAGCTGACCTCATTGTTTAGGGGCAAGAGGAACCAACTAGGCCCCTTGCTTCTCATAAGGCACACTTAAAAAAAAATCTACATTTAGCCTGTGGTTAAGTACAGATGATTGTGAGTGCATGATTTGATCAACCATAATAAAAGGGTGTTGTATGAGCCTTCATTGATTTATTCAGCATTTACGTTTGAGTTACTCTGCATCAACTCCAATTATGGCTGTTAAATTCTTTCTTTTTCCCCTTTAATCTCTTTTTCTCAGTTGGAAAAAACCTTTAACAACTCACACAAAACTTTTATCCAGCTGAAAAGATGTGACTTGTAAAAAATCATAGCATAAATTGTATTTTCTCAGCATTAAGTTCAGAGATGAACACGACAGAAAATCAATAACGTCCTCAGCCTGCAGCTTCGTCATGTATTGATTTACATGTCATTTGCCTCCATAGAAAATGCAATTATTGCTTAAATACAATACAGTATTTTGCTAATAGGATACAAATGTCACCACTGAGTATAAAGGTCATACTTGCATGTAAATGGTTGTCAACCCAATCTCATGCTTGTTGCTGCCATTATTTGAACAGGTTATTAGCACTAGGTTCCCTATTTCTATTTCTGTTTCTGTTTTTGTTAGTAGTGGATTCACTGTTGACTTCAGTAAGATTAGGAGCAAGCCTTAGCCCTAGTCCCTTCATCTGTTAAGGCTGCTTTGAACTGCACTAAGCTATTAAGATAGCTTACCCTAAGCTATTAGAGGATCCCCTTTATCTGGTGTAGAGCTACTGTAGCAGCTCCCCTTCTTTTTTCCCTTCAGATCCAAACATAAGGAACATGTCTGCAAAAGGGGATGAGGTTTACTCAGGGCTGGGTTTTAAAAGGCACCAAAGATACACAGAGCTAGGTTCTCTCTTACCTGAGCAATGACAAAGGGTCAGGAAGGAGCCAAACCTGTCACTTTCCTGTGGGAGGAGGAGTTAGTGTTAGTTTCCATAGTGAGGAGTTAGTGTTCCCAGTTTCTACACCATAGGTGTAGTGGGCTTTGTGAAGATACATTCCCCAGTTTTAAAAACAGAGAATGTTGTCCATTATAGGCATGCATATGTGGACCAGGGAAAGAGGAAAATTATGAGAAATGCTAGAAATAAATGGGATAGGAAAGATATTTTTATAGATCTGTTGGTATGATGTGAAAAAGCATAGCCTTTAATATTTGAAGTTCATGGCCAGGTACAGACATTACACTTATTGTGCAGTAGGTTCAAAGAAAGCTCTGTATAGTAACCAAACAGCTGTAAAAATAGTGGATTCTGCTCTAAGATGAATGGATGTGGTATCAGACTTCAGAGCTGTAGGTTAGAGTGTTGTAATAAGCACCTGTATCAGATCCCATCATGACTTGTGTTAGTTTTCATTCCACCCAAAACACATGGGGCTCTGTTGCACCTCAGTGGCCCCACCACTCCCCTAGAGCAGCGCTCTAGCCTCAGCCAGAGCTCAACTGGTCTGCCTGAGTGCTGGGCCAGCCCCACACCCAGGTTGCCACTGACAAGAATGAGCAATGCCTTCGTCCGCAGGCCCCCCCCCCTCCTCCCGCCAGTCAGCGCAGATCCATCCACACAAAGAAAGCTGCTTATTGCTGAATTTCTCTTATTGCCTATTGCCATTGGTGCAGCTGAGCAATTTTTGAATATGGTTCTGCTGCTATTTTAGGCTCAAAGAAACTAGAGACACTTCTGCTCACTGTTCACCTGTCTTAAGAACTGATTCATCTGCACTGATTTCTAGCAATGGTCAAGTTCCCTAATATACACGAGGCTTTTTACAAAAAAACAACATGTTTAACTCCTGGCTATTTAACATGGTTCAGAATGGCATCAAGATAAGTTTGGTGATGGAAATGCCCTCTAACCCCAGCTTCTACCAAGATCCTTAACAGTTCTGTAACACTGTCAGATTGTATTGTCCTTTTCAAATGGTGTTACAGAGTCCCTGGTGCAGACAGGAACCCCAACTCCTATTACTATAAAAATATACTTGACCATGCACAAAATGTACAGCAGCTCATCTATACATACTAATATGTAGCATCAGTATTTCCCAACTTGTTTGGGGAAACCTTGGATGCATTCAATAGCCTATAAAAAAGCAGAGTGTGTTTCTTTGTTCTCGTGTCTTAAAGCCAATTTCTAATAATTCTGGTCACTCGAGTGATGTTTTGGAACAATGTGCACTTGGTAGAAAGCTGTTTCAGGCAGTCTGTTACAGAGTTTGGGGTATGCTGCTGGAAGTCCCACAGATAGATATGTAAGGCAGCCAGCTCCAGGAACTCTGTTTTTGTCAAGCTCCTACATTGTTTGTTTTATTAGTTACCATTTTACAGTTGTTGCTTTTCCTGGCCATATGAATAATATCATCCAATGGTCTTGCTAGCCTTAATGTAGTTTTCCTTTCTTAGAGCCACTCAGCAATCATAAAAAACCCTGTGGGACATAATAGCATCAGTGATGTTCCCCTTAGGAAACACCTGACATTTTTCAATGGGAGGAGAGGAAATTCTTTCCCTGTTTTCCCAATCTGCTACCTGCAAAAGAAGTGATTTTATTTTTCCTTCTGAACCCAGTAGTTTCCCTAGTCTGTGTAATCTCTGTTCAGAATTTAGGAAGCCACCAGACATACAGGTTCACCCTCCTGAATTCCTAGTTAGTGGAGGGTGCAGGGTATCCCATTTGTAGGCACATGCCCCAGAAAGGATGATTTAGAATCACAAAGTATTTGGTACTGTTTCAATATTCCACCAGTTCATTTTTAACTGCCTAATTAGCTGGCACCCTATCATTAGCAGCCAGTAGGAGGCATTGTGTGTCTGAATGACAGACAGTGTCACTCAGACACACCACCTGCCACACCAGAACAATACATTGTTTACCAAGAACTTCTCTGAAGGTTTTCAGAGAAATTGCTCATTTGTACTCAGGGAAGTAACACTCCCACTGTGTGTTTTCTAAAGTAGTCTAAGAAATCAGTGAAGTTTGGGAGGGTTTTCTTTTTTTTATACGTTTATCGTACAGTTCTTCACTCACATGTAAGTTGTTGAAATGTAGTAATATTTAAATCTGAAAGCAGGCTTGCTATTTTTCAAGGGTTTATATCCTGATCCTGCACTCAGTGAAGTCCAGGACAATTTTCCCTTGACTTCATATGGAGCAGGATTGGGTCTTTGTACTGTACTGTTTGGTCGATAAAGTATATCTCAGGCAGACCTTTGTTTGGTCTCCTAGCAATGTATTGGAGAAATAGCCTGACCAGGGCTAGGAAAAGACATTACACATAAACGGGTTTAAGTGATTAGAAACTGGTTTAAACCTGTAACAGAACAGACATTCAGTGCACACAAACCAGTTTGAAAATGGCCAAAAAACAGTTTGAGATAAACCTGGTTGAATGTAGTATCAGACTTAACTGATTTGGCTCAAACCAGTTTATGCAATGTCTGTCCCAGACCCCTTGCTGGTTTGAGTTAAATCAGAGACCCTCAGCATCCTGGCACACTGTCTGGGCTGGGCTTTGCTCCAGAGAGCAGGGCTGGCCCCTCCCCTCTGCTCTCTGGGCATGGTCAGATGCTGACCTGTCATGGCCCCTGAGGCAAATCCCTCCCTCTGTCCCCTCTTCTCCCCACTTGCAAACCCTGCAGACCTCCATGGCTTTCCTGCAGCCGGGCAGACATGGAGTTAATTCCTCCCTCTGTCCAGCTTGCAGGCAGCCAGGGATGAGATTAATTCCACTGTGGTCCTGAAGTTGGGGAGAGAGGCAAGACTTGCAACTGTGAGCCCAGAGCTAAGATGAACAGGACCAGACTGAGAGGTGGGAATTGTTGACAAAGACCTGACAATCATCACACACATGTGCTGGAGATGGAGTTAAGGGAAGTTGCAAGTAGCTTCCAGCTGGAAGTTGCAGACCAAAGAATGCAGAGAGTAACATTTACATTATAAAGCAGAACCTGTAACACCTTTCTGAATGCCTTGCTGTAAGGAAACACTGCCCTCAGGACTAGTAAGACTTATGCAAGGCTTTCTCTTTTCTTCCTGTTTTTCATCTTAAGTTAGACTAAGTTTTGTATGCTGTGTTTTACTGGACTGTATCTTAGCTTATGTGACAATTTAGGTAGTTCCCTGTTGTATGCTTTGCAAATTCCGGTGTTCAATACATGCTTGCTTCAGAGAAAGGACTTTTTTCTCCTTCCCCACTCCTCAGTCTGGCAGCAGCTGCCCTTCCTCCCCCCCAGGCTGGTGGCTGGCATCCCATGTGTCGTGCTAGCCTTGGCTGATGCCTATCCATGCCCCCTCCACTACAGCAGGAACAGGTGAGAATCTTGGAGGGTGCCTCTCTTCCCTCCCCCTTGGCAGTGGCTGGCAGGTGTGCTCTAGCTTCTGTCTTGAGCCACTGCAGACATGTGGTTATATTTCCTGATTTAACAGAGAATGTCTGTCCAGTTATTAATCAGTTTAAGCTGCACCACTTAGACTAACCTGCAAAGAGCAAACCCATTCAGGAGCAGGCTTTTTGAATGCCTGTCCCTAGCCCTGGGGAAAATCCCATCCACAGCTGGATAATCATATAAAGAAGTTACAAATAATTTTAAAAATCTACAGTTTGGAGAGAGGGGGAGAGACAACATTAAATTCAGGGGTGAATGAAGCCAACTAGGACTTATCAGGTGAAGCCGATGAGCCCTATGCAGCTGTAAAGAAAATAAGAATAAGAGCCAGGTATGTATGTGGGTGAAAATTGGGAAGCAAAATCTTAACTGAAATATTTTAATAGCACTCCACTTTCTTTCTCCATCTAAAGGCTTTTGTCAGTAATAAAAATAAAAATAAAAAGAAATTGTCTTTCTTCTGTTAGGTATCTAGAATCTATGATGTTTATATTCTACATCTTGCATTCTTCAGAGTGATTTTGGATGCATCTGAAGCAGTAAGCAAATGCCTACCTCATACTTTTTTCTATAAGGAGAAAATATACCTTGCCTTTTGCCTATCTTCAGACACACATGACTAAATACCTATCTCAGAAACATTTTGTAATGTCTTTGTGCAAACAGTGTCTTGTTCAAACCAAGTTTGTTTTTGCTTGTTATTTAGTTTAGATCTGAATATTGAACCAAAATTTCTCTGGTTTTGCCTAGTGCATTTAAAAATCACTTTCACTTAGATAAGGGATAAAGCCTTAAATATTAAATTTCAATTTTGGTGAGTAGTGCAGTATTTGAGTTAGAGTCTTAGATCAGAACCTGGCATATGGTTTTGGTTCTAACACTAGAATATTTCTGCTTATGCGATTTCTCCTTATGTCTGTCTCATACTTCCTTAGTAATATCTTTCTTTTTAAAATGTCATGCCTCTCCATATTGCATCTATCACCATGATTCATACCAACTTTTTACCTTGCTCACATGTTTAAACTGCATATCTAGATTTTTTTTTAAATATTGAAAAGAATTCATAATAATACAAAACAGCCACTTGATAATATGTTGCCTTGTGCCTTCTCACTGAAATCTCCTCAAGACAGGAAATTTGTACAGTGTCAGTAAAAGATGGGGAAAGAAAAAGTAGAAGTAAAAAATAAAATTTAATAAAATTTGGGAAATGGTATTGGGAATTGAAATTCCTAACATTCTAGTAATAGAATTCATTACATTAAATCCCTTCATTTTAAAAGGATGTAAATTAAAAGTGGGTGTGTTAGGCCCTAAATATTTACCATTACTTTTTTTTCCCATTTTTTTTCAGAAAAAGGTTTCCTGTCACGTGCTACATTCTCATTCAATTCAGATTGAGTCCCCCTCTTCTTCCTCACTGGTTATCATCATGTATGTTTATTTTAGAGAGAACTTTTATATATTACAATTTGCTGTCACCTAACAATGTTGTTACCATTTCTGTTGTTACTTTTAACAACTGGACCACCTAAAATGGACTGTTCCAAAATGTATGGCACCACACCCAGACATACTAATATATGGCATCACTATTTTCCAATCTGTCCAGGGAAACTGGCCTTAGCTCTGGCAACCATTTTCTGTATGTGAAAAATGTAGGTGTGGGAAGTACTTACACTGCCTGTGCTCAATACCAGATTCTGGACCAGAAACCATGAGTCCAGATCACAGACATGAAGTCCCAGGAACCTTGAATCCTTTGTAAACTTGCTCATAAAACATCCTTTAGCTCAACCTAAATTTTCCTTTGTAGCACACAAGGCACATGTGACAGACTCCTGCATTCATTCATCTGTTGTATTCAGAACATGGCCAGCTGTGAGTTGCAGGGCCAGCTTGGCAGGGGGGTGGGGGGCTGGGGGGAGGTGAGTGGGTGGTTAAGGAGTCATCATCCATGCACCAGACCCAACAATGGGTCACGCTTGTATCTGGTCCATGCCCCCTCCACTCCATCATGAATCACCCCATGGACCTGATGCAGAGCCCATGAGAATCCCCAGAGTGCAGGCACAGGCCAATGGAATCCCAACCTTGGCACTCAAAAACCCATTACAGGGAGCTCCAGTGCCAGGCACCCTGCCATATGAACTCCAATATGGCACCAGCCCTGAGCAGGAGCCAGGTGGCATGATCCAGGAGATTGGCACTGCATGGAGCCAACCCTGTGGATTGGGCAACACATCAGGCACCCAAACCATGGGCCTATGGCATGCTGAAAGGTTTTTTTGGCTGCAGCTACAGGTTTTTGTATTGCAAGAGCATATGAGGGGCTGTGGTTGTGGGGGTCACTGAACCTCCAAGCCAGGACAAGCAGACATCCCAGGAACCTCCAGGACCACATGGGGTACGGCCACCTGATTCCTTGATTCAAGGGCTCTTGAATTTTAGGCCCCACACAAGGACACCATGCAACCTGTGATGGTAAGGTTTGCCATAGCTCCATGTAACCATGAAGGGGACCCAGGTCCCAGGAGAAATGTGGAGCTCTGGGGTGGGGGGAAAGTGGTGGGGAAAGTAAGGGGCAGTCTGTGGGGGAGGGGAACAAAGCCACCACAGGGCCCCCCCTGCAGTCATAGTCTTTTCTCAGGCTATTATGTCCAAGAAGCCCACAAAGGAGTTGGCACAGGGATGAGGGCAGGAATATCTGGGGTATAGGGAGAGGGTGAATCACCCACTTTCCCTATACCCCCCCAACTCCCACTCTCTCCTGCTGAAGCCTGGAACCCAGCCAAGATGCCAAGGCTTCCCCCATTACTCTTGGTCACTTAAGAGGGTACGTCCCATTCAATGGGATCATAAATCTGTGTAACTGAAATGTCTTTGCTGGATCTCTCAGGGCCATGCTGTGGTCCATGGGATATTTGAGCCTAAGCACAGATACCCCAAGCAGTTGCATGTAGACAGCTCCCTGTCCCCACAAAAGCACTTACAGAAATGTATTGATAGCATTTATTGAACTATCAATCAGCAGGCCAAAGGTAAACAGCAGTTCTGGCAAAGGAAGCACCCAAGTCAGGGACAGGAGGTACCACGCCAATGTGTCTGACAGCCATTACAGGAACCTGAAAAATTCCCCATTGTCAAAAAAACCCCAGACCTCCCTCCCCACATCCTTCTCTCTCAGTTCAGGAAAGGAACACATGTGATGGAAAGATTCTCATGTAGAAACCATCATCAGGAACCTGCAATCCATGGGATGTCCAGTAGTACAGCACGGGTAAGCAATAAGCAGGTAAGCAGTAAGGGGCCCATTGGGCATCAGAGCTGGGGGGGTGACAAAGGTGCCAGTAACAGGGCTCAAGTGCCTATACACTAATGCTAGGAGCATGGGGATCAAGCAGGATGAACAGGTGGGACTCTACCCATGACTGGGCGGTACACATTGAGGGCTATAAGCTGTACAGAAAGGCTAAAGTGGGGAAGAGAGGGGGAGGGGTTGCGCTCTATGTCAAGGAGTGTTATACATCGACCTTTATCAAAATGGAATCAGAGGAGGAGAAAGTAGAAGGATTATGGGTTAGGATACATGGAGGTCAAGGAGAAAGAGTTCTGGTGGTAGGGGTCTGCTACACCAATAACTAGATTTGGAACTCCTGAGGCAGCTCTTGGAAACCATAAAGGCTAGGGAGAAGGTAGTCATGAGGGACCTAAACTACTCTGACATCTGCTGGGAGACGCAGACAGCAAATTCCCACTGTTCACACAGGTTCCTATCCTGTGTACAGGACCTCCACCTGATGCAGGAGGTACATGGTCCCACTAGGGGGAATGCTTTACTGGACCTGGTATTGGCAAGAGGGGATGACATGGTAGGGGACCTAAAGATCAGTAGTCACCTGGGGGACAGTGACCACCAAATAATAGAATTCATCATAAGGCAGAGAGTGGGTAAGGTAACCAGTAGGGTGGAAGTGCTAGGCTTCAGGAAGGCTGACTTTAGCAAACTCAGGCATTTAGTCAATGAGACACTGCAGAGTAGGAGATTTGGCAAGATGGGAGCCCAGGAAGAGTGGCTGTGTCTTAAGGAAACGATCCTTTGGGCACAGAGGGAGACGATTCCGATGCGGGGGAAAGGGGCCAAGACACTTCCTTGGCTGACCAGAAAAATCAAGAGCAGCCTAAGGGCAAAAAGGGGGGCATATAAGCAGTGGAAACAGGGAGAGTTTACTAAAGAGGAGTATGCCTCCTCAGCTCGCAGTTATAGGGAGGCAATTAGAAAAGGCAAAGCTACCATGGAGCTGAGGATGGCATCCCAAGTTAAGGACAACAAAAAATTGTTTTCAAGATATATAGGGAGTAAAAGGAAGGCCCAGGGTGGAATAGGACCACTACTGAATGGGCAAAAGCAATTGGTGACACACAGGGGGGACAAGGCTGAACTTCTCAATGAGTTCTTTGCCTCAGTCTTTCTAAATGAGGGGCAAGACAAATCTTACAATGAGATTGTAGAGAGGCAACAGCAGGGCACCAGACTATCAAACATTGACCCTGAGATGTTGCAGAGTCACTTGGAAGGACTCGAT